TCTCATGTCCCAAATAACTTTTGTTATCAACGACATAGCTGATATTTCTCTCTCTACTGTCATTATCCCCATACCACCCTTTCCTTTCACTTCCCAATTTACCCTTCAGCTGCTGTTGTTCCGAAACCTTTTACATGACCTTTGGAAATCAGATTTCAAGTTTAATAAATCCCTCTTCAACAACAGTTTCCTTCATTTTATGCCTTAGCTGCCTTCCCCCAACTTCAATTGCAAGAAGGTACTACCATCCTCCTTTCTGTAAACTTCAACAGTTTTAGTAAATGTTATGTTAGTTTATATAGTACTTTGTTTTCATCTATTTCACTTACCACCATATCTTAAACATGATGACTGAGTAAATCAAACAGATACCATTTTCAAGGTAATAATCAATAGAAATTTTTTTTTATTTAGAGATGGGGTCTTGCTCTGTCACCCAGGCTGGAATGCAGTGACAGCTCACTGCAGCCTCAAACTCCTGGGCTCAAATAATCCTCCCATGTCAGTCTCCCTGGTAGCTAAAACTACAGGCTTGTACTATAGCGCCCAGCTGATTTTTTAAATTGTTTGTAGAGACCAGGGTCTCACTATGTTGCTCAGCTGGTCTTCTGATCCTGGACTCGGGCGATTGTGCTCCCTTGGCCCCCCAAAGCACTGGGATTACAGGAATGAGCCACTGGCCCAGCCTTAACAGAAGTTTTGAAAGAACAAACACTGATGCCAACACGTAACAGTCTTGTAAAGTATTGCATAGGTTTAGTTCTTCAATGTAACACATACTAAACATAATACACGTACTATTTAACCTTCTCCAAAATGAAAGGTTATCCCATTCCCAAAATGCAGTTTATTTTTTTTCTCCCTGATATGCAAGACAAATAATCTATTTTAGTTTTTTAATCATATATAGAAATGAATTAAACCATACAGATTATACAATAGCCAGAACAACATATATCTTGTTTTATAAGTACAACCTGTAAGAAACACTAATGCAAAAAAAGTCAGTTATAAGTTGGCAAATATCCAAATAAAAAACTTAACAATAAAAGAGAGCAGAAGGTCTTGGGGAGTCCAGTTGTGAGATGTGCTCTGTCCCTGTCAGGTAGGCACCAAATCCTTTTGTTGGTATTTAAAAGGCAGGCTCATCCGTGTAGGGTCACTGGTATACAACCGAAGTTATGTTCTACCTCACAAGTGACTACACTTCATTGAGTTTATGCTCAGTGAGTCAGTGTTTGCAAACCACTTAGATTCCAGGACAGAAAGAGCTACAAAAATGAAACATGCAGTCCTTCTCTGAGGTTTGTTATTAGCCTCTGTTAGCCACAGGTTACAGGGCACTAAACACTACGTACTGTGTGTTTGCTCCTAACCACTATGAAAAATTGCCTATAACATCTTTCTAACAACTCCTAGAAATTTTTAAGTTAATTTAAAATCTGGAAATTTAACTGGGACATATTTCAATTTTCTTAAAACTAGTTCTTCTTAAAATACCTCACTAATTCTTTTTTGGGTGTCAATTCAATGTGATTTTCGCCAACACTTTCAACAGACTATTGCTAACATTTAATGTTGCTCGGGGAAAGGGGGCTGAAGAGGGCAAAATAATCAGTTTTATTTGGACCCAAGTTAACTCCCAGCCTACAAATAAGCTTCTTCACAGATGTTGAGAAATGCTTCAAAGAAACAGATTGACTAGTTTAATGGCACAGACATATATAATTCTTTCTATATACAATACAGAAGTTAGAGAAACTAAAACAAAACCCTAAATAACACATTAAACTGATATCCTGAAAAGGCTTGTGTCAACATATCTGTGAAAGATTTCTGTCCTGTAGCATATGTACCAAAATCCAAAGTATTTACGATAGGCAATATAAAGCATCTGTAACTCTGGAAGCAATACAAATCTACTTTGAAGAATAAATATACGATATAAGGTTATTGAGCTTATTAAAATGCTAATAGAATGTTTTTGAAAGCACTGTTTTTGAAAAGTAACATTTTCTCCAATTTACAGTAGTAGGTAATAAGTCACAGCTTCTCTGGCCTGGATATAGAATTTAAAAATCATTTAACAAAATAGACCACCAGTCAATGTACTTTATGTACTTAACACAGTATTTATTCGAAATTTCTAGGAAGCAGAAAAAAGTTATTACATTATTCATCCATTTTTTTTTCTTTATAAACTGGTTCTGGCTCTTTCACCCAGGCTGGAGTAGAGTGCCGTGATCATAGCTCACTCTAGCCCCAAACTCCTGGGCTCACGTAATCCTCCCATGTCAGTCTTTCAAGTAGGTGGGACTACAGGTTGCCTGCCACCACGCCCTGTAATCAATTTTTGACAACTCATTTCATCATCTCAGAATTCCTAGTTTTATCAGACAATTTCATAGAAACATTCATTAATTTCTCAGAAATACTGTACTACATTGTTGTTTAATAAAAAGACAGTACATGCTTGTAACAGTCACAGCAATTGTAAAGTGTAAACGATATAACGCAACACCAAAAGAGAAAAAGGTCAATATGTACCTTCAAGATAGAAACCTTACATGACAAGTCCTAAGAAATATAACATTCACTTTCTCCCAAGAAATAAAGAAGCTTAAAAAATAATGAAGACATTTTACTAAGCTTACAGGCTTTCAAAAAGATGGAAATTCTTGAAATTTCTACAAATGTTCCTATTAATGTCTTCTGATTATCAGCAGCTTTAGAATAACCTAAAATATATACTGTCAAAAACTGACTTAAGGAAATGGTCACAAAATATTGTGAGTGTACTAAATGATACTGTTTATATAATTTATTTTTTATTTATTTCATTTTTTAGAGATGGAGTGTCACTTGTCACCTGGACTGAAGTACAGTGGTATGATCACAGCTCACTGCAAACTCAAAATCCTGGGATCAAGTGATCCTCCCACCTGTGCCTGCCAATTAGCTGAGATTACAGGCACAAGCCACTGCACCAAGCTGATTATACACTTTAGAATGGTTAACTTTATAACACATAAATTTTTAATCAATATTTTTATATAATAGTAATAAATTTTAAATAATTTAAATAAATTAGATAATAAATTTTTAAATGATTTGAAGTAAGGTAGAATTAACAGAATCCAACACATGGGCATTATATTCCCCTAATTTTTAAGTGAAGAAAAATATATTAATTGAATTATATATTATTATTTATCCTGAAATGCATAAAGTCCTCCTGTTCTCCGCTAACTCTAGTTATACCTATAAATCATAAAAGTCTATTCCATTTGACACCAAGGTCAAATATCATTAGAAGTTAGACCAAATCTTCATTTTTAAAAAAATCCTATATGTGGCCTTGAAGGTAGATTTTATAGAACAAAGATAAAAGAGTGTTATTTTCCCATTTTATCAACCACATGAAAGAAACAAGAACTGTGGCTTCCCACATATCTTTGTCCAGCAAGTTTTCTCTACCTTAGTATCCACTTTAATCAGTTTAAAACAGAAAAAAAAAAATTAAACAACAAAAAAGCCAGGCACAAAGTTCTGAGATATACTTTTTAAGAGAAAAATGAACATGCATAAAATATCAAGTCATTTGACCACAGATGAAAATGTTATAAATGTGGACAGAAAAAGTTTGCAGGAGACAAAGAACAATGTATAAAAGATAAGAAAAAGTTTTACGAGCCAAATCTCTCTATCAGCAATGCAAAAATCAAAACTCTAGGGCCTTTATATGTAATTGGGAACCATATTGGCCTCTATAGCCATATTCTCCTTCTCTGAGTGTTTTACAAAATAAATCAGAATCTATTTTTCATCCAAAAGTAAGGCAATGGTATTTGACAAGAACCAAACTTTGTACAGCAGAGTGCTTAACATACTATAACTCTATCCTACATATTCATTTATTATGAGCAACATGGTTCTACATAACCAAGTTATATTTGTCCCACTTAAAATACCAAACTGCAATAAAGAGCTAACTAAAAATTTTGAGTATTATCTCTATGTCTCCAGATGATGTAGAAGATACACACTAATTAAAAGTAGAAGGAAAAAAGCAAAAATAATAGCACATCAAATGCTACATACAGAGCTCAGTAAGCACCATGTACTTAATATTCAGCTATATAGCATATTCTCCACTTCATCAGATGATTACTTTCAATGGCATTACTGCATTTCTAAAGTCTGTCACTTAATCAAAAGCAATCTGCCAAATATTAAAAAGAATTCTTCACTGAACGTGCTCAGAGAGAAATGATTAACTTTTTAAAGTATATTACTAGCCTGCATATTTTCTGTTTGTATAATAACTTTATTTAAAATCTTATAAATTATATTAATATAAGCTCATGGTGAATATAAGCCCATGTTGCCAAAGAATTTTTATGTAATTATTCAGGTCATTTTTCTTGCTCTACATGAATTTTCTTCTGAAAATAAAGCATTATCATAGTAAATTATTGTACATGCATCACATATACACTGTCGTATTTAGTTATCTGATAGAAAATATTGACATGTCTTTTAAATCTGAAAAATTATCAGTATTTAGACCAATTCATTGCACAAAAATACAGACATACAGATTTGCCTTTTAGTCCTTGCAACTTAAATGAAGTTAAACTTTCACCCCTGTATTTTTCATTTAGGTTATTTGAAAGTAGTCACTATAACCAAAACAGCTAATAAATATCAAAATATCATTTATCATTGCATTTACTAAACTGCTAACAATAACATCTAGTAATATAAATAACATACGAAAGATGTTAAGAGTTATCCTGTTCCCTCACCCAAATCATTCCAAACATAATTTCGAGAGAATGCAACCAAAGGACTACACAAATATAAAATCAGTCTCTCTACATATCAGGCAAAAAATTAGAAAGAATGTTATGTGTGTGCGTGCATTTGGGTGTAGATCTGCATGTGTGCTTGTAAGGGGTATACTTTCAATAATGGAATAATCAGAATTCATATCATACCTGTGCTCCATAGATATATTTATCCAACATTTTGCCTCCTATTGTCTGCCCTCCTATATCCCAAATTTGAAGGGTAACATTCAAGTTTCCTAAAATATAAAAAATGAATATAAAAATAAGAACACCAAAAAAATTAAGTAACAATACTACAACTGACACAGTATCACAGAACACTAAGTCACAATAAGAAACTCTGAGCCCAATCTGTCTTTATTCACAGTCACCAATGATATTTGGAATTGTGAAAATAATGTCAAAAAAATCATGGTAGAGAATCCAGTTTTATCCTTTTATACCATTTCCATGGAACCATATTTACAATCACCTTCAAAACAAAAGAAAATAAAGTAAGCTTTAATTTATAAACTTAAGCCTTAGAAGAATGTTTTTCTTAGATAATAGAATAAAGCGCATGTCATGAATCAAGAAATGTACTTTGAAAATAAAAACTGAAGCTTATATTCTCAACCATCCAATCACAAATATGAAGTTTGCTGTAGGTTCTAAACTCTATGGGTTCTAAAACTCATAGACTAATAGCAAACTACAAAAATGAACACATAATTTCAGCTCAAATGAATGAATCTTTTTATAATGTGATTAACAGCTACTACACGATATGGCAAACATAGTCCAAAAATTACATTTTCAAATTTAACCTACAAAATAAACACATTTGATAGCCCTATTCAGAACAAATGTAGGCTACATACCATGTATATAAATATTACAATGCATTTAAACCTGTTCAAAGCATTTCCATTTAAACAAACGATGCATACTTCCAAGCCTTCATAAAATAGTGTAACTAATCATCTTTCCCATACAAGCATTATTAAAGCATTCTAAAAGGCAATTTTTAAAATCCTTTATGCATTTTGTAAAATATTTAGTTGATACAAAAATTTATGAGATAAGCTATTCACTCTTCTCAATGCAACTGATGAGTACGCTACAAAAGCCAAACTCTGCTTTTTAGTTTAACATTGTAAACTATTCGCCTCATAAAATTAATGCAGTTTTCTCCAGAGTATCAATTAGTACTTTCTGAATGATTTGCAAATCAAAAGAAAATAAAATAAAAGCTTAGAAACTAGAAAATGATCTCACTTCAAAAAAAAGATCATAAAGATATAAGTGTATGTGCCAACATAAAACACTAAAATCAGAGAATGTTAGTCATACCACTTAACTATGCAACTGAAAAGAAAAAGACATTGGATTAACCAGCACAGTTTTCTAAATTTTGGTGGGTTTGTATAAATATTTCCATTATTTAAACTTAGGTTGTTCTATCTGCCACCGTGCAGAAGATTTCCATGAGGAACTTCCATTAGCATTAATGAGAGCTACGGTTTTATCATCAACATCATTCCCACAGACTCACACTTTCAACACACAGAGTAATGACCAAAATGTTCTTAAAGCCCTATGAAATCGAAAACCAAAATATCAGACTAAGATTTGTCCAAAAATTTGTGCAAATCGATTTCTCAAAAATCATTTTTTTTAGATTCAAGGCTGAAATAATTCTTCTATAATGTTGTCTTAAATTAAGCAGATGAGAAAGAAGAAGTACACATCACTAAGAAGTATATAAAATAGTTTCAGAAACCCCTAGATAAACAGGCAGTAGTCTACTCATTTTACTTGCACAACTTTTTAGAGTTATTTATTTACTTCAAAAGACAGTGCTTAACAATACTAACTTTTGCAGAGTAAGATTTTAGGCAATACTTAGTAAGTACTAAAAGGTATTTAATCCTATTTTTTCAGAGCCAATAATCCTTCTTGCTTAACTTCACATTAAGAAATATAAAGCTTTTTTCTTTCCTTTAAGTTCTGGTATTCAGATCCTATCTGAATTAGGTGTTGTGAACACTCTGACTAGTATTAGGAAAATGATATTCATTACATGTTTTCAAATTCTGACTACAATCATATCAAGACCCTAAGTCATCTATCCACCCACTTGTCTCTCAACTAAGAGGTTCATATTCATGTGTTGAGAATACTTTTTAAATGCATGCCTTTCCAAATAAAACCTGTTGTTCTGTTTGCCTGGTTTTTTAAAATATAAATTCTAGTGACTCAGAAATAGAAATAACTGTGAATTACTGATAGTCCACTAATATAGAATGCTAACAAAAAAGTACTATATTTACAGCTTCAACAAATGATATAGCTTCATATATATCTAGAAATATATTTTTAACTCCACATTCGAATTTTAGGAGTATTAACACATAAAACTAAAAATAAAATGTGGAGTCTGCATTTGAGGAGCAAAATCACATGAGGATATGATTCATATAAATACTCATTTTTGTCTTTGCAGGTATAAACATATGAATGCTCCTAGTACATTTTCAAGATGACATACCTATAAAGCTATATAAGAATATTCAAATAATATAATTTTGTTTAAATCAAGAATCTAATACAAATTTCTAACTAGTAAAGAACATTGAGGAAATTGTCAGAAATTTAATCCCAAACACAAAATGCTACAAAAATCCTGTTCCTCTGTAAGAAATAACATGTAACTGGGAGAAAAATAAAATAAATGAGGTGACAAAACACAGGTAAGTTGCTTTTGGTATGAATTAAAGCCACCAAGAGGATTCAAGAGTGACCCTGTAAAAGTACACTTGGTGCCTTGGTTAACCTTACTTAAAGTGCTGCATAGTCAAGATGGAACTAAAAACACAAGTCTGCCCACTTCTTGTACTAAAGACTTAGAAATCTTTTTCACAGTAGAACGCTGTTTACTGGACTGTACCCACAAGCTTCCTGAAAGTATTTTGACTAAGGCTCTTAAGAAGCTCTATCAGCAGAATCTCTGACAAACAGATACACTATTTTAAGCAGTAAAATCTGCACAGTGGTTGCATCCAGACTATACAGCATACCAGATCATGAAATATACTAAAATGGATGAGTATATGCAAAGTAATGATCTTGAAAACTTGCATGAAGAGAATGTAAATAGATGGACAGGAGGTTTACGCCTCTAACAATCTAACTGGTCAGAGGACTTAGTAGACTACTAACAAATATTAGATTCACCTACTATGCTATAAATTCAATAAAGCCACCTATAATATTTTACTCAGCAAATGACATATTAATCATTCTACATTTGACACTAAAATGAATTTAAATTAAAGTATATAAAGGATAATTACAAAGCTTGTAATTTATTCACCTTATTTCTTAATATACCTATTAAATATATAAAAATAAAATATATAAAAAAAAAACTTTTCCTATTGAAATTTCTACTGTAAGTTTGAGTTTATTAAATAGCATAAAACCAACAGCTTTAAAAAAATACAGAACTTTTTTCTGGAACTTTGCCATCAAAATAAAACTTAATTAGGAAAATTATACGTTCATTAAAAGTAAACATGCCTTAATGTCATTTTTTAACCTAAGTACTGTCTAAGTCCAAAATATTATACTATAAATCTGGATTTCAAGAATATCAAATATTTTTTACAAAGTATTCAAAGTTTGTAAATTGGTAGTGCTATGCCACAGGTCAGAAATCATCACATATATCGCCTATATAAAATTTCTAAAACCAGGCTTTGTTTTTAATATTTGAGTAGGTATTTGTTTACTTAAGCTTTTCAACTAAAAAATGAGAAATATTAGAAGTATGAGACAAAAAGTTGGTAGTTTTTCAAATTAGGCATCAAAACAAAATAGCTATTAACGAAATACTATATAGAGGTTCTCTGTGTACAACGGGCATTTGTGAAAAAAAACTGCTGCAAAAAATAAGCTTCCAGCATCTATATTATGTGATTTGTGTATGTATTTGGCTAGTGACTGCTGTTAAGTATTCTGAATGCAGCATAGGTTATCCGTAAGAATGAGAATAATAAAATTAAAATGACATTTTCTGTTTTGGAGACATTAAAAGAAAATACAAATGAAACAAAGTACGCATATGTTTCTTCTTAAACCTCTTGCTGAACAATAACTCACTAATAGAAAAATTGGAATTCTTTTTTTCCCCATGGGATATCTCCCAATCTATTTTCCATTGGTAGCCAAATACAAACCATCAGAAAGTATAACTGAGGATATTACTAAGGAGATAAGAAGAATACCTCCATAACCAAGAGTTTTCATTAGCTACTCTAAAACTTTCATGGGGAGTTGTCTGATAGATGGGGTGTCTGAGAGGTTAACATATTTCAATAATAATTGGAATTTATTAAACCCCTTCCCACTATATCACTCACATTTCAGTACATGAATCAGACATTACACGTGCAACCGTTTTCTCCAAATGTGCTTCCTCACAGAAGAGAGGAATGGATGGTTTATAAAGTCAATCAAGATAAACTGCTTTTAATAAAACACTTTAAACATATAATTTAACCATTGAAATTGAAAGGACAGCATTTTAAAGCCCCAATTGTTCAGTAGCTAACTTAAAACATAAGCCACTCTTTCTTTGTATTATTTCACCGTATTTCCCACAAAATGTGCTGCAACTGGCATCTAAATAGTTTCTTTGCATGGTGAAGTGAAACATCTTGAATGCTCAAACTGTATTTTTATGAGTGCCTAGGGACCCTAAATTTTAGTGGTCTATTAAATGCCAGCAATTTCATGCTGCCTTGCATAAAACAGCATTCACATATTAGAGCACAGAAGTTCCATAGCTACATTATACTTCTGTTCCAACTTTTAAACAAAAAACTAAAGCAGAGGCAAATCAAAATAATATTTTAAAAAATAATCCTTCCCAATCTTTTCACATTTTGTTAATACAGTATCTGTTGACAAATGTATAGCACTTAATTTTTTAAAAGCTTTTCAGAATTTTATAAGTAACAATTGTTTATCCTCAAAAAGTGTATAGTAGCCAAAAACAGGGAAGGAGTGAGAGAGTATATAAACTTTTTCTCACACCCATGGACAGTATGCCTATATGATAGATTGTGATGAAAGTTAACCTCCCTAAGATAAATTTACTGATTACATATATTTTCAAGTAGAAGCAGCCCCAACATCTTACACGTTTCTGCCTTATGCCACTTATTGTAAGATTTTTTATAATCTTCTACATTAAGACTTTTTAGTCTCTTACCTGGCAATGTTATCCTTCTCAAAAAGAAGTCCAGTCCTATAGTTTGTTTATACCGTTTCCCGAAAGTTTCTTGAGCAAAACACGTAGCTAAGGAGGTCTAAAAAATGGATACACAGAATACCAAAATTAATTCATTAAAGAAATATAAACATAAGACCACTAGTAAATCTCATTGAACAATCTTAACGTGTATACTCCAATTAATTCGACAAGCAACTTTAAGCAGTTCTAATCAGTTACAAGGGGAGGAGAGACTTAATACCACCAGGTAAATTTCACTTGCCAGCAGCTATCAGTAGGAACAACAAACTAATGAGTTAGGCCCCTTTAAATCCCCTGCTTGTCAAGATCCTTTTCCTTACTGAAAATCAGAATTTGAGAAGTATCAACAGAAAAAACTTAAAAAATAATAATAGTAATTAAATATTTGAATTATTTTAAAACATAATTAAAGATCTTATCTAACTTAGTTTTATTCAAAAACTCCGGAGTTTTCTTTTTAAAGTAGCATTTCTTATCAAAGCAAAAGAATAATTATTCTAGTAACAATCGAATAACAATAACTCAACAAGTTCTTAAACATTTTAAATGCACTACTTTTATTTATAAACTTCCTCCAAAACAAAGAGAAAGGTAACTTCACTAAGCTTTACGCTCTTCAAGACAGATTCCCTACATTAAGAGAAAATCGCTTTTTTAATTTTCAAAGTTAAAATTACATGTCAACTCTTAAAATAATGAAAACTAAGATAAAATTTCTAAGATAGCTCATTACAGTTTATTATGGCATAGGTAGCACAACAGTGCAAAAGAAAATTTGGCCAAACTTCAATTCCTTTTAGCAAGATAATCTAAAATTCCTTTTACACAGAACCATATTTTTCACACAAATGGCAATTTGGACACCGTAACTCCAAATATTTTTGTGTTTAAATACCCAGCATTTGTAATAAATTTCTAAGATAATTGGCCAAGTATTTACTGAGCACTGCCATATGAACGGTATTCTGCTAGACCTCTAGAAATAAACACAGTTGTTATATTTTTGACACACGTAACAATATCAGAATTGAAAGATCAGAATTGAAAAGATAGGTATTTCCTTTTACAGATTTTTGTTTCTCATTTACACTATATTATTCTACTGAGCTTATCTAACTTAGACCACAAACCATCTTTGAAGAGGTTCAGAATTCTTGAAAAAAATAACTATCACTACTCATACTATTACAGGTATTTTAAAATATTTAATATACTGATGGTTGATACACTCAAAGGTCAAACAGAAACTGAAGGCATGTGTAACATCCACGTAATGTTGAGATAATTTTGCACTTTAATTAATGAAAGTCAAAGTTCAGTATTTTCATATTAAGGAAATATTCAGAAAAATTCTTAGTTTCTTTTCCTGAAAAAGTGACTTCCGGATTTTGAAAGCCCTTTCTTTCATACTTTTGAGGCAAACATAAAGCTAGGATTTTCAATTGGAATCAAGTATAAGCTCTCAGAAATACAGGTTATTGGGAACATACAGAATATTAAAATAAGTTCTTACTATATCATCTCCTGATATCTTGCTATAAAAATTGAACAGAGAATCAACTGTATCAGAGGGGGACACTTTCTCTTCAATTATCTAGACTTGACACCTTCTTTCACATTCAATAATTACGCAAGTCACCGTATAAATACCCTTTTTAATTACATGTTTGAAGTGAACAACTACCTCCCATATAATAAATATTTTTATCTGAATCTTTACATTTTTTGATTTGGAAAATTTATACTAACAATTTTTTAACCATGCTACATTTACTAACACTGAAAAGACAGAAAAAGGAATATTTTGCCTCAAAAAGCTCTTAAGAGATTATATAATAAAGAAAAAAATATGAATCAGAAAAGGAAACAAATAGAAACACGTGAACTGGAGGGAGGAGCTAAATTTCTCTTGGAGAAACTGGTAAGTCGTCATCTCAACACTCTACTGCATCTGTCAGTGTGTTAAAAAAAATGCTCAGAGTTAGAATGAACAGGAAAAACAAATGTTAGAAAAAACATCCAAGAGTTAAATCAGGATACAAATAAGAATGAAAGAGAGGCTGAGTTCACAAAAGAAAAGGACAATAAAGGAAAAAGAATGGGAACGTTGGCGGCTGCCAATTATTTGAGAACTGAATAGGGTATGGAGAAAAAAATTCTTCATTTAAGAATAATGAAAGTAGGTTAGGTGTCAGACATTTGTGTCAGGAAATTCCTGGCAGGAAAAGCTGTTACTGTTTTAAAATAAGTTATTTAGTCAAGGTGATAAAGATTAAGTCAGAGCATCATAAAAAATATTACCATTAACTTTTGAAGCAGAATGACAATACTAATTGAAACACATGAAAGTGAAAAAATTATGCTGTACTATACTAGAAAAAATTTTAAACAGAGACGAAAAACCATAATCATTCACACTAAGTAAGCAACAAAGAAAAAACATGTATGACAGGCTAAATAAAAACCTTAGACACAAAATTATGAACAAATTTTAACTGAGTAATATATGTACAATAAATACTGTTAGAAAAATGAACAAAAGTTTAAAGCATTATGATAGCATATAGGATAACTAGCAATTTTTTTGTCTTTTTACACATGTATTATGTTAGGGGTCGTCATTATCATTTTAAATGGGAAATAAGATCAGTTATGAATTGAATGCAGTAAAATTTAAGAGGCAAAACCTTAGACAGTCTTCAAAAGAAAATCTAAATGAGAAAACTATAAAAATCTAAGCAACTTTTCATTGAATAAAGGTGTTAGAAACAATGCTGATTTATAAAAATTCATTTTCATTCGAAAAGTTTACTAAGTATACAAAAATTCATATACTTCATAAAGAAAAGTTACCCCAAGTTCCTTTCTTCCCCCAACGTTTAAAGGCAATCATAGCATATTGTTTTCCTCAGCTTTAAAAATCTATAACAAAGGACCCAAGACAACAAGAAAGAAATAACAAAATACTCCAAGTTTTGCATATGAAATTTTACATCTTTCCCAGGGGACCTCGAGGCTCAAATACCAGAACCAAAGGCAGAAATAGGCTAGCTGTGCACTGCCAACTGCCAGGGAGGATGCAAAGAGAAGTCGTCACCAGAGAAGCCAGGGTCTAAACTGCGACCAGCAGCGGGGCAATGTGAAGCCTTAAACAGGAAATATGAACCTGGGTTTCTTTATAGACTATGGTTTGGATAATGGAGAGGAGTAGAGGGGAAATAAACTTTAGCAATATTCCCAGAAAGTGTTGGCGCCTTTGACAGAAGCATGGGTAAGAAGGCATCAGGGTAGAGGCTCTTCACTTTATTTGTTGGGGGAGGGATCACAGACCCCTCTGAGATCTTATGGACCCTCTCCCTAGAGCAAACACCGGGCAGTGTTTACTCCATTTCAGGAGTTCCACAACCTTGGGGTAAGAACCGCTGCCTAGGAGATAATAAGACTGATGCTGCCTGATATTCTCACGCCAGCACTCATTCATTCGACCAGGGACCCCTTTTGTCACGCGGGCACCTCTACCCTAAGCATCCTGCCCATAACAGGAGCTCCATAAACACTTGTTGACTGACTGCTTGTACCGAGTGCTGAGCTGGAAATAGAAGTGATGAACAGGTATGATACTGAAATAGCAACCAACGTGTATTCAGTGGACACTGTGCTCTAAAAGGTTTTGTGTGCATTTTCATATTTAATACGTATTTTCACATTTCTCCCTTTGCGGCGGCCCCTTTCAATAACCATCTCACAGATGAGGCGCAAAATGGTCAGCCATTTACCCTCCAATGACCCGACGACTAAGTGGCGGAGCCCCAATTCTCACCCGGGGAATGCTGATTCCAGAGCCACCCTCCTGGGAGCTTACGGTGCAGTGGAAGCATCAGAAACCGTAAAGGGAGTGGGAGGGGAGGAGCAAGTGTGACCCGGGCTACAAGTCAGAGGAGCTAAGATGCCTTGGCAGATCCCTGCCAGTCCTGAGAGGCGGGAAGGTGAAAGGCTGGCCCGAGTCTTGCAGGAGTTCGCAATCCCGGCGGGGAGTTAGGAAGTGACTTTTTTTTAAGGGGGAACTGGACAGCTCTCGACGGCCTTCACCAACCGCCCACTTCGTGTCCGGCCACAGGCCACGACCAGACGGGCCCGGGCCTAGAAGCCCGGGGACTCGGGGTAGTGAGGCGACGCTGGGCTGCGGGGAGGAGGCCGGGGGGCGCCAGGGTTCCTGCAGGCCTGAGACGGCCGGCCCGCTCAAGGACTGACCTTCCCGGAGGCGCCGTCCCCCAGCAAGACGATTTTCAGTTGCCGGTCCTGGCTCTCCTCCTCAGAGTCCGACATGGTGTTCCAGGAACCAGGCCCGCCCCCCGAGGTGGAGGGGGGTAAGGGAAGGAGGAAGGCTCCGGGGGCGGGAGAGAGGAGGAAGGGAGGTAGTGGCGGCAGGACCCCCGCCCCGGGGTCTCCGCGCCCGCAGGAGGGATCCGAGGAGAATCACTCGCCAGGCGCCATCTTGCCCGCCTCCCCTCCCGCTGCGCTCGCCCCCGCCCCCCCGCGCGCGCATGTCGGGAGCGCGCCCCCGCCTCAGCGCCAACCCGCGCCGACCAGGGGCCTCCCTGGCGAGCCGAACCACTTGGGGGCCTGGACTCAGGGGAGACATTCCGGCGGGAGAGGCGAGTCGCTGCGCTGCCATTGAGGAGGTAGTTGGTTAGAAGAAGAAAAGAAATGTTCTTTCAAATTAAGGAGAGAAAACGGAAGCAGAGAAGCTTTCAGGCGTTCCATCACATTCCCTTTTCTCTTTCCTCTTGAGATGGTCCCTGAAGGGAATGGTTCAGCCTGATGGGGTGGGGCAGTGACGCCTCGGGCAGCGCGCCAGGGTTGCCTGGCAGCCGGGAGTTCGCGGACCGGCGGCGGGGCGGGGCCTGTCTCCGGGCACGCGGGATGCCCGTAGCCGGGCGGAGCGCTCCAGGGAGGACCCCTGAAAAACCGGAGCCGAGAAGAGGATCGGAGAAGGGGACAACTGCTAAGGGCCGAAGCTGCGGGGAAGCCATAGTAGCGTCCGTGGGTATAGTGGCGCTCTCGCGCTGCTTATTTCGGCCTAATTCTCGTTTCCTCATCTGAGCCCCAGGCTCCCATGGTTCGTTCCTCAGAAGCTGCTGAGCACCAACCTCCTGGCACCCCGTCTTTGCCCTAGGGCAGCAGTTATCATAAAGTGTGGTCTAGGGACCACTGGGGGTCCCGACGACCTCAGAACAATTTTCATAATAATACACCTCGTCTGCCTTTCTCGGGTTCCTTCTCTCACTAGTCTACCGTTTCTGAAGGATACGCTTTGTGTACGACGTTGTCACTGGCAGCTAAGGGAGCTTGTGCTTGTTTTTAAATATTTCTCAGTTTTAATTTCAATGCAGTAATGAGAGGTGTAAACCAATAAACATAAGCTCTTTGGAGGTCACAGTCATTTTTTAACAGTATAGAGAGGCCCTGAGTACAGATAATTTGAGACCTGCTGCCCTGAATGATCTCAGTCTGTAGGTAAATGGCATAAATGAAAATTACAATATAGTGAGAGAAATTCAAAAATCATCTGTCCTGCTATGTTTGTTTCATTGTTAATCGCTTTAAATTTATTATTACTTTTACTCCTTATAGGAATTACAAAGTGTAATTATCCCCATTTTGCAAATGAAAAATCTTAAGTTACAAAATGCTTATCCTAGAGGCAGTAGTCTTGGAGAGCATATGAACATTAGAACAGGAAAGCAGAGCAGTGTAAAGAAATGCCCAGACCTGGAGGCAGCACTGGAATTTAATCACAGGTTTACTAGATATGTGTCCTTGAGCCTCAGTTCGTTCATCTGTAAAACGGACTACTGCCTTTGTAGGGTTGAAAATTAAATGAAATAATCGGTATAAAGCAGCATAGAGAGCACAATGCCTGGTGTGTAGTAAGCACTCAGTATTTACCAGTGTAATTATCACCTCATCGTCATCATCATTAGATGATGGTTCATGTTGGAAGCATTACTACTTTCTAGCTAATTTACCTTACACAAGTGTCTTATGTAGAGCCTCAGTCTCTTCATCTGCAGATAGGGCTGGTCCACAATTATAGGTAACCACTTAAGTATTAGTACCCAATTCTTTCCCCAGTCCCCCACCACCACTGCCGCCACCAATTTTCTATTCACCAGATTTGTTCATGAGAAATAGAAGAAAGGGAATATGTACTTGTTAGTGTGAAGAATCTTCTTCCAGTGAGGACAGACTTAACCCCTTCTTGTCCATGAGGACAGTTAAAATGCAAGAAAATTGTTTTTCCACTCTTCCTTACATGGCTATGTGATCCACCCAACAAATGAGACAGAAGACAGTGTCCTTTGGAAGACATTTGTAGAAGAACCCTACCCCCATCGTTGAAAAAAAAAAGGAAAAGAAAAAAGAAGAGACATTGGAGAGCCCTCCTCCTCCCTTCCTTTGCTGTCATTATTGGGTAAGAACAGGATTTTCAGAACTACTACACTTTCTTCAGCCTATCTTCTAGGTTTCTTGATATGGGAAATAATAAGGTACTTTGGTGATATATTCTGCTCCTTACAAACAAAAAAATTTCAACTGACATAACTACTTTGGCCAAAAACTACATATAGCTGAACTCGTAAGCCTGATTTTCACGTGTGGTTTTATATGGAGGGAAATCTAGAAGAAAACTTCTCATTTTCCACTCACCAATTTCTGAGATGACTGATTTGATTGAGAGATGACAACATTCATTTGGATATGGGTATATCAATAGGATGGTGGTGGTATATAAAACAAAAAGTTGCTTTATTTTAGTGATCATATTTTACACATATGGCAAGTTTCTGGGTTTAAAGTTAGAATTCGAAGACAGAGCCATTTTGGTAAAGAAAAAGAAAAAAAAAAACTCTCTGTGAGGAGGACTGTGTTAGCATTCAGAGCTTACAGTATGATACTCTGACATGCTAAAGAAAAATAGAGCTGATCCACCAAAAAGAAAATATCTTTGTGGATTCTCTTGTACAATGCCCTTAACAAGGTCAAAAATTAGAGGAATGGTCTTCAGTGGTTTTAAAACTAATAGACAAAAGGCTTATAAAAGAATTCTAGAGTTCTATAAAAAAACTTTTATAGCATCTCTAAGATAATTATTCAAACGTTATTTGAATACATCCACATTCAAATAGTTTGTTCCTTTATGAAACAACCCGGACTGTAGATGGATAGGCCTGTTTATTAAAATATTATCTCTGATGATGAGCCAAAGCTTATCACTATAAACTACAGCTAATGGTAATAGATATATCTTTCTCAATGAAACAAAAACTCCCCATTCCCCATTGATCAGGAAGATGATCAAAGTGATTCCTTAATACTTAGTGACTGCTAGACATCGTGGCTCATACCTGTGATTCCAGAACTGTGGGAGGCCAAGGCGAGAGGGTTACTTGAGCCCAGGAGTTCACGACCAGACTGGGCAACATTGGGAGATCCTGTCTCTACAAAAACTTTAAAAAACAAAAATTAGCCTGGCATAGTAGTGGGCACCTGTGGTCTCAGCTGCTCGGGAGGGTGAGGTAGGAAGATCACTGGAGCCTGGGAGGTCAAGGCTGCAGTGAGCGGTGATCGTGCCACCGCACTCCAGCATGGATAACAGGGTGAGATCCTGTCTCAAAAAAATGTTTTTAAGTAATTAAATTTATAGATATTTAGTGACTGCTTACTGTGTACCAGGCATTCTTGTTCACAACTCATCTAAGCACTGAAGATACAGAAGTGAACAAAACATACAAAGGCTCTGTTCCCATGGAATTTACATTCTGGTAGAGGGATGTAGTAGGCTGAATAATAGCCACATAAAGATATCAGGTCGTAATCCTTGGAATCTGTAAATGTTACCTTATTTGGAAAAGCATCTTTCAGTTGTGATTAAGTTAAAGATTTTGAGATGGGAAGATTATCTGGGATTATTTGGTGGGCCCTCAATGCAATCGCATGTATCCTTGTAAGAGAGAAGTGGAAGATTTGGCCCAGGCATAAAAAGAGAAGGCAATATAACCATGGAAACAGAAACTAGAATGATGCAGCCACTAGCCAAGGAATGTGGGCAGCCACTAGTAGCTGGAAGAGGCAAAAAGCAAATTACCCTGGAGCTTCTAGAGGTAGCCTAGCCCTGCTGACACTTTGATTTTAGTGCAGTGACACTGATTTAGGACTTCTGGCCTCGAGAACTGTGAGAGAATAAATTTATGTTGTTTTAAGTTACCAAGTTAATGGAAATTTTTTACAATAGGTACAGATAACTAATAATAAGGACAAACACAGATATTTAGTAAATCATCAAGACAGTTTCAGATTCTGGTACATTTAAAAAGATAGTAAAACAGGTAACAAATGAAATAGAGTAAAAATATCTTAACATTATTCATCACTATTAAAGGTGGGAAAATGGTAAATGAATCGGGGAATAAACTGATTTCAGAAACTACCGTTCTCTGACATCTTCTTAACAAATCCAATGTCATCCATCAGTTTTCTTCATCTTTTTGCAATATTTCACAATTTTGAAGATGTAGATCCTAAAACTAATGTCTGAGTAAGGCTAAATAGTGGTCATGCTCCCAGGTAGTCCACTTGGTATTTCTGTATTTTTATGCTTCTCCTGAAAAACTAAGAAAAGTGTAGAAGTGATCCCTAGAATTAATTGGTTTGTTAAACTCCTTGAGGAAAATATTTTTAAAAATAAGGCTTTCTTCCTAAAATTCTCTTCTTTCATGGGTTTTCTGTATATCTACATAGATATACATGTGTATGTTGTATGTTTAACCACCATCTAAATCAAGATATAGAACAATTCAGAAGCCCAGCAGACTCTCTTTTGCCATCTCTAACTTATTACCTCCTCAAAGATTACTATTATGATCTCTACCCCTGTAAATTAGTTTTACCTGTTGTAAACTTCATACAAATAGATTACAGGTAGTATGTTCTCTTTGGCATCCAGCTACTTTCACTCAAAAATATCCTATGAAAGTCATCCATGTTATGTGCATCAGAAGTATGTATTTTCTATTGCCACATACTATTCCATTGTATGAATCCACCACAATTTATCCACTCTACTGTTGATGGACATATAGGTTGTCTCCAATTTGGGAATACTATGATGAGTGCTCCTCAGCGCAGCCTACCACTCTGTCAGAGGAAATCTCTCTCCACAATTAGCACTCTCCTCTCAGAAAAAAAACCCAGAATCCTCCGTGTACATTTTATTCACTTAAGATAGGTGAGGCATGCCACAATCATGGAACTGGTTCTTGGGTATAACTTCTGACATATGCATTTGATGACTTAATCTAGGAGTAGCTCATCTACGATATCTCATGCTCTCTACTTGAAACTTCAATTTTCACATATTTCATCACCATTATAAAACTGTCACTTCCATGTACAAAAATATATTAAGCCCACTTTCTATCAAAACCTTCCTGCCTTTTTTTTGGTTGACAGAATGATGCTAAACTTCATGCATAAGAA